GCGCGCGCGCGTGGAGCGCTGCGTGGCGCTCGCGGACCACGCCGTCGAGGCCATCAAGCGGCGCGAGGCCGACGACGGCGCGCTGGAGCTGGTCATGGCGCCCCACTCGTTCACGAACGTGCTCTTCCGCGTCGTGCCCAAGCACCTGCGGACGCCGCGCGCCGCCGGCGCGGCGGCGGTGGAACGGTCGCCCGAGGATCTCGCGGCGCTGGCCAAGGCGCAGCCCTTCGTCAAGTCGGCCATGCAGCGCGACGGCGACGCGCTCATCGGCTTCCAGGCCTACGGCGAGGCGCAGTACGGCAACGAGGAGATCAACTTCTTCCGCATGGTCGTCGCCCAGGGCGACCTGCTGACGACGGAGCTCCTCGACCACACGCTCGACACGATGGTCAAGCACGCCGACGCGTTCGAGGCGCACTAGGAGGGGGGGGACTTTAATCGACCGTGAGCCGGATGTCCTCGGTGTCGGCGACGCGGCCCGCGGAACACCGGACGTCGTAGGCGCCCGCGGTCGTCGAGCGGACGCCGGCCTCGTCGACGAGGGACAGCGACCGCGGGCGCAACTCCATGGAGACCTTCGTCGACGCGGCGGGCGCGAGGTCGCGGACGCGGGCAAAGTCGAAGAGCTCGCGGAGCGGCGCGTCCGGGCGGCCGACGGCGGCGACGAAGCACGCGACGACGACGTCGCCCGACACGGCGCCGACGTTGCGGACGACGACGGAGAAGCGCGTCGCGGCGCGTCGCGGGACGCGCGTCGGACCGGCCAGGGAGACGGCGAAGGCCGTGTAGCTGAGGCCGAAGCCGAAGCGCCAGAGCGGCGCGACGCGGCGCTCGTCCAAGAAGCGGTACGTGCGGCCCGGCGACGCGGCGCTCGGCCGCATGGCCATGTCGCGGAACGGCGGCAGCCCCGCGTCCGGGAGCATCGTCGCCGTCAGCGCGCCGCCGGGGTTATAGGCGCCGAGGAGCGCGTCGGCGACGGCGACGCCGCCGAACTCGCCGCCGTAGCCGGCGAGCAGGAGCGCCGCCTTGTCCTTCGCGAAGGACGCGTCGACGGCGCCCGCGGAAACGAGGAAGACGGCGACCTGGGCAGCAAAAGGGTGATTCAACGTCGCTTCAACGTGAGTGTTCCGCGCGCGCGCGTTCCGACAAAAGCATCCAGCTGCGAGACCGTCCCGAGAGATGATCGCTCGTCCAAAAATCAGCCGAAACGAGTGGAAAACGACCGAGATAGGAGCCTTTGAAGTTGGGAATTTCGCTCTCTTTTGCTGCCCTGACGGCGACGGGCTTGCCCAGGGCCCAGATCTTCGAGAAGAGCGCCTCCTGGGCGCCGGGGAGCTTGAGGGACGTTCGGTCGACGGACTCGGCCTCGTCGATGGAGAAACACGTCGCGTCCTCCTTGGGCGGGCCGCCCCCGTAGTTGTCGCCGCAGAGGCCGAGCCCCAGGACGACGACGTCCGCCGTTTTCGCGAGGTCCACGGCCTCGTCGAGCGCGGCCGTCGCGGCGCCGGACGCGTTGCAGCCGACGGCGTAGACCACTTTTCCTCCGCGCCATCGCGCCTCGAGCTCCTGGAGCGGCGACCGGAGCAAGTCGGGCGGCGGCGTGCCGTGGTAGCCCGATAAAAGGTTCATGGACGCGTTCGCGTTGGGGCCGATCACGGCGAGCGTGCCCCGGCCGTCGAGCGGGAGTATCTGGTTCGGGTTCTGCAAGAGAACCAGGCCCTCGCGCGCGGCGCGGAGCGCGAGCGCGCGGTGCGCCGGCGAGTCGACGGCGTCGACGTCCGGCCGCGGCACGGGAGCGTCCGCGTCCCAGTCGTCCAAGAGCCCGAGGCGGAGCCGCGCCTCGAGGAGGCGCTCGAGGGGCGGCCGCAGGGCGTCCGGTCGCACCAAACCCGCCGCCAGGGCCTCGGGCAGCGCGGACGTGAGCACCTTGCCGCAGTTGCTGTCGACGCCGGCGGCGATCGCCGCGGCCGCGGCCTCGGCCTCCGTCGCGTAGCGCTTGTGGCGCGCGACCGCGTCCTCGAGCGCGCCGCAGTCCGTCGCGAGTACGCCCGTGAAGTTGAGGGCGCCGCGGAGCGCGCCTCGGAGGAGCGCGCCGTCGGTGCACGCGGGTTCGCCGTTCACGGCGTTGTAGCTGCACATCGCGGCCGCGGCGCCCGCGGCCACGGGCGCGACGAACGGGCCGACGTAGGTCTCCTCGAAGTCGCGCGGAGAAACGCGCGCGTCGAA